TCATTCCATGACGAACAGAGATTGACATTTACAGAAATTCTGAGTCAGAACAGCTTATCATATTTCGGTAAATGACGATGGGTCGTATACTAATGCCAAATCATGTCGGATCAAAATATACGTCTTCATGATTTACACCGTTTATCTTTATGGTCTTGAAAGTGAATTTTTCCAATAAAACTCTTTTGGACAAAATTTGCATTCATTTCTTGGTTTAAAGCGGCAGCGTACTCTACTCATAAGGTAAATAGCGAGATAAAACTCTCATAAAGATTTTTAGGGCTAATACACAGCGGTTATACCCAGCGTTTCTTATGAGAATTGTGACTGAAAAATCTTCACTGTGACAGATTTACTATAAAAGCCTTAAAAACATGAATAGAACAGCGAGCTTAGATTATTACTGTTCCACCAACTTACTACTGTGAAAAAAATTATAGTCTTTCTTGGTTCCCTGTATAATGGTTCTCAAAAAAACAGGTATAGGCTTAAAATACGACCTCGTGCTTCTATCTATTCTAAACTTAAGGATTAAATACCTCATTGCATCATTAGTGTCTATGGTGTAATATACCCGGTGTTGCAATTTAATTTACAAATTTATTTTGTTCAACACTATGATGCACAACTCGATTCTTTAGTAGTTTTTTTCAAGCAGTATCCTATTACTGCCACTTCCGTGCTTCCCAAGAGTTCCTCGCTACATGGATTGAGATACATCTGATACATTGGCAGCTTGCTTCCATAAAAATAAGTTCATCTTAATACCTTGGAAAGTGATCAACCTGTAGCTATAAAGGGAATTAGGAAAAACTACAGCACCGTGCGATGCTGAGTTCTACGGTAACAAGCAGCACTCACAGACTAAAAATGCGGTTAAAATGAAAAGTAGATTTATCGAGCTTTCACGCGTGAATCAAGAAATATTTGTTTCCAGCGCGTTAGTCTTGGAAATTGTCAAGTAGAACGTGCCAGTGGCCCTAGGAGCCAAATCGAGTTCCTTATATCAAGAATTCGAGCATGCTTCAGGACTGACGGCGATCATTTCGGTTTTAAATGATGATTTGTAAAATTTGTCAAACAGGGAGATACTGGCTCAGACCGGAAATAGGCACATATAAATAAATGCACTTCCAGATATAGTTCAATTTAAATACAATTCAATAATCATCCACAGGTGCTCGTTTAACAATCTAGAACCCATTAAGTTACTATGAGGTAACAGTTACTAATACGGGAATATCTGACGCGGCAAAACATGTGAACATATTTTGCATAGGCACTGTTCTTTCGCGAACGCCTGTACTGAAGCATGCAAAATAATCAGCCAGCGAGAACGTGAACAATTAAACGCGATTGATTTACTCAAGCTTCAATTGAGGAAGTCTCCTTAAAGTCGAAACTGTTTCCTGACTGACTGACTGACTGACTGACTGACTGACTGACTGACTGACTGACTGACTGACTGACTGACTG